AAATGATTTTAGCATATGGCTGCAATATAACAAAGAGTGAAAAATTTAAGGGGGTCTGAATACTTTTCGTACCCACTGTATATATTCTGCAAAATACAAAGCTAAGCCAGCATCTTATCTTAGTTTAGTATAAAGCCTGGAAACAGGCAGGAACAGCCTGCCTAACTATGGAACTATTTCTAGAGGAACTACTTTATCAGGCTGTTAGACAACAGCTGAGGCACCAGGAGGTCACTGTGCACATTAAATAAATGATATATAATGTGTTAATTATTGTGAGCTTTAGGGGTGCTTTATCAAGACTGATGTTTTACCCAGCATCCAGGCTTTATGCTAGGCTAAGCTAACCAGCCACTGGCTTCACCTGAGAGTGAAACATGAAAGTGAAAGCTTATTTTCTAAAATGTCAGGATTTTGATATTTTGCACTCTAGAGCTTCTGTTTGACCTCCCATGGTTTTGTTTTTTTTTCTTATCTTGTGCAGACCAGACAAACACCAGGCCGAGCAGGGCCAAGCAGGACTAGGGGGCGTAGGTACTGGGGAATGGAGGCCACAAGGCAAAAGCTTTTGTTTCTGCAGTGCCAACGCATGCCTGCTGCCAGAGTCCCTGGCCAGGTTCAACAACCTGTCAGACACCCACAGAAGAGCCTGTGAAGTGGGGAAGAGGATCTGCAATGGTGCCAGTCGGCCTCAGATTAAAATCTACATTGATTCGCCTACAAACACTTCCATCAGGTGAGGAGAGATTTCTCCTGAACTCCTCCTAATCACGTCTTGGCAGCAGTAAAATTAACATTTGAACACTTCTTTATTTCTTTTTTCTTTCTTTCTTTTCAATTTATCAGCGCAGCATCTTTCAGCAGCCTTGCCACAGGTTTCCGTCGTACCTCCTCTCTGGGCCAGCGCCCAGACCAAACACACCCCAACAATGTCCCAGCCAATGTTGAAACTGAACCCCTCACCGAGTGCCCAGTTCACCCCTCAGGTGCCACCGAGTGCCCTGTTCACCCCACTGCAGGGGACCAGGGCCCCTCTGAATGCTCAATTCACCCAGACTCAGCTGATGCCACAGAAGACTGCCCCCTCCATTCCGCACATGCTAACAACGGCTCCGACTGTCCTGTTCACACCTCAGGGGAGACTCCAGACTGCCCTATGCATTCCACAAGGCCACAGAGTGGCCCCAGCCATCAGGACTGCCCCGTGCACAGGGAGGGGACCCAGACAAAACCCTTCACAGACTGCCCACCTCACACCTCAGGAGTTCAGATCAGCATCAGTGCCCCAAAACCGAGCACCCAGGAGCAGGCCGTTGAAACAGAGAACCATCGTCCTGGGGAACAGGCAGGAGGAGGAGACGCAGGCAGCATGACTGCCTCCAGGGAGTCTCTTGCTCGTTACCATGGAGGGGACAGCAATGTAGCGATATCCCCAAACAATACTCTCTCTCATGTTCCTCATACATCAATCTTTAAGCGTCCAGGACGAAAACGCCGTCATGGGGATGAGACTTTTGACCACGAGATCTCTGCCTTTTTTCCTGCTAACTTGGATTTCCTGGCTCTACAGGAGGTGTTTGACCATGGATCAACAACCAGACTGCGACGGCAGCTGCATCACTATTTTCCCTATGTGCTGAGTGATGTTGGGCGGTACGGCTGGAAAGGTTGCTGCTCAAGGTTCAAATTCCTGAACAGTGGGCTGATGTTGGCTAGCCGCTACCCAATCCTGGATGCACGGTATGAGTGCTACCCCAACGGAAGAGGGGAAGATGCATTGGCAGCCAAGGGGGCACTGTTTACCAAGGTCAGAAGTTTTAATTTACTTCTCATTTTCTATTCTAGCTCTGTCTAGTAAAACCTGTCAACAAAACTTCAGAACATCACTTTGCCTAGCCAAGCAATAGTCCAACACTTCAGTTTTTGAATGAGTAAAGCAAAGCAGAAATAACATTTTATAGCAAAGTCCTGAGAGGTGCTAGTGAGTGGAACACCTTACCTTTGGAGGAGACAGTCCAGTGGTTTCCCTCTGCCCTCAGTCTTTATCCTAAGCTGTACGCGTGCCAACCATCTCCTGGATCCAGACGCATACTAACCAGTGTCAGTATTCTCTAACTCTCAGCAGGAGAGCAAATGATTATATTTCTCAAAATGTCAAACTGTTTCATTAAACAATAACCACAACACATTCAAGAAACTAATAAAACAAAAATCTTGCAAAAAGTACATGCTGGCGCCCTGAAGCCTTAACACCTTGACTCAGTTTCTACCAACGAATGTTAATTACTGTTCCAACAACTTCCTTATAAAGTTCTTAAGCAGAAACCCTACAGCAGTCATTTTGTTATGGTTTCACAAATTAGTTTCGGAGTCGCTGTTGCTAGAGGCTTGCTTAAAAAGTCATAAGTACTGTCCCCGGCTGTATTTAGAAAGGGCTGTAGTCTTTGACTGCAGAACAATGACCTTAAGTCAAAATGATGAGATATCTTTCACTGCTTACTTCTGGAATAATTGTTGAATGCTTGAGTTTCACAGCCTGGGCAATATTTCCTTTCACAATGCCGATACAAAAAGGAAAATATGGGAATTAGTTATATAGCATAAAGATGGCGCTCCTTGGTGTGCGATGTCGCAGTTCACTCAGAGTCAGGTTGTTTCTCTTTTGTCTCTTTTTTGATTATTTGTGCTGTGTTAAAGCAACAGTAAATACCGCAAACTTTATTTATGACCGGGCGACTTTGTTAGTGCTAAGAGAGTGCAGTCTTTTTTGGAGATTTTGACCCGAGCACGTTGGATGCTTACCCAGAGCTAACCTAGAACGACTGTGCACAGGCCAGCCTGCAGGGCTGTCTAGAGGCCACAGACTGGAGCATCTTCAAAGGGGCCACAGACGACATCCATGAATATGCAGAGACTGTGAGTGACTACATCAGCTGCTGCACATCCATATGCACACCAGCTAGAACTGTCCGTGTTTTCCCCAACCAGAAACCATGGTTCAATAGGGATATAAAACAGAAAATCAGGAAGAGATGAGAGGCTTTTAAGTCGGAGTATCAAGTCAAGCGGAGTACAGGAAAGCCCGGTACAAGCTACAGAAGACCATCAGAGCTGCAAAGGAGCATACTTCAGAAAACTGGAGAGCTACTACATGAATAACAACACCAGGACATCCAGGATTCTCCCTGCTGCTCTAGACATGGTGTCGATTATGCTGGATGAGACAAGTGCTGCAAAATTGAAAACTATCACCTGTCAAACGATACAGTTGCAAGCCAAGGCTAAGTTATAAAACAATTGAACCCATATTTTATCTGTTTTGAACTTAGTGTTATTTGATATTTCAATACATTTGAAATTTTAAAATTGGCCAATTTCTTTATCATTTTGTTGACAAGTGGGGCTTGAAAATTCGCCCACCCTCTTAAGTGGGGAATGACAGAAAATGTTTGAGAACCACTGAACTACAGGAACAAATCAACAAACACAGCCCCCCAGGATGCCACCCTCCCGGACAGCCTCAACAACTTCTATGCAAGGTTTGACAGGATGACTACATACACACCCTCAAAATCCCCCTGCAACCCCGGGGACATCGCTTTTCAGGTGACACACACACAGGTCCTGAAGGCCCTGAGATAGGTAAACCCCCGTAAGGCGGCGGGACCAGACGGTGTCCCCCCTAGAGTGTTGAGAGCCTGTGGGGATCAACTAGCTAGTTGATCAGCTAACTAGCTTGTGTACACAGACATCTTCTACCTGTCTTTAACCCAAGCAGTAGTCCTTTCATTTTCAAAAAAAATCCATTATCATACCAGTCCCTAAGACCCTCAAACACATCCACTCTGAATGACTTCAGGCCAGTGACACTCAGATCAGTCACCATAAAGTGCTTAGAAAACTGGTCCTCGCACACATTAACCACATGCTCCCGGACACTGTAGACCCCCTCCAGTTTGCCTGCCACCCCAACCGATCAGCAGATGGTGCGACGGCTCTGGCTTTATTCCACACCCTGAAACACCTGAACAACAGCAGTACGTATGCTAGGATCCTGGACTATAGTTCTGCATTCAACACCATTCGCCTGGGCAGACTGATTGGGAAGATGACAGATCTCAGTGTCCCAATTCCCATCTGTAACTGGATTCTGGACTTCCTGACTGAAAGACCACAGGTGGTCAGAATGGGAGGGCGGATGTCTGCTGAGTTCACAATCAGCACAGGCTCACCGCAGGGCTGCTGTCTCAGCCCCAAACTCTTCACCCTGTACACCCACGACTGTCTCCAACCAGGACAACACCATCATCATTAAATATGCTGATGATACCACCATTCTGGGCCTCATCAAGGGGGGAGACGAGTCGGGTTACAGAAGCTTACAGAACGACATTCTTGTTTATGGAGAGGAGAATGACCTCATCTTCAGCAAAAACAAGACAAGAAATAATAGTAGACTTCAGGGAGAACCCCTCCTCTCTGCTGCCTCTGTCCATCAAAGGGACTGAGGTGGAGAGGACTGACAGCCACAAGTTCCTGGGCCTGCAGGTGAGATCTGACCTGAGCTGGTCACTGAACACAGCTGCCACAGCGAAGAAAGCCTTGCAGTGGCTATACTTCATCAGGCGGCTCAGAAAAGCTGGGCTAAACCACTGCCCTCTCACCCAGGCTTACAGAGGACTGGTAGAGAGCATCCTCACTACTGGCATCACAGTCTGGTATGGTAACACCACACAGGCAGAGAGGAAGGCTCTTCAAAGGGTCATAAAGATAGCAGAGAAGATCATTGGGACTGAACTGCCTGCTATGGACACACTATACACACAGCGCTATCATAAAAGGGCAGAGAACATACTCAGGGATCCACGCCACTCTCTGCTCAGACACAAAAACTGCACCTACAGCCTCAGGCACAGCAGGGCGGACAGTATCATCACACACAGAACTAGACTTTACAACAGCTTTTTCCCTGCCGACATATCCAGCTCCACCATGTGAATTACTAAGTGTGATGTTTGAAGTTCACTGTGGGAAATACTATTACCCTATTTTTATGAATTGTGTTTTAATACTTTGTCGCCTTTAAGTAACTTTTAATTTTAAGACTAAGTGTTCTTTCTGGCTTTTGACTCCTTACCTGACTCGAAAGGAGAGCTGCACAAGAATTCCTATATGCCTAGACTGTCTGTTTATGCATAAATGGCAAATAAAAATCTTGAATCTTGAATTAGTTTCAAACAGAGCTGAAGTAAAACTAAATGTCACAGCGGGCAAAATTTAATAGTTCTTCTGCAGCAGAAATGTGCCTCTGCTCTGAACACTGCTTGATGCTGTTTCCGCTGAAAGCTAATGTTGATGTCCCCGATGCCAATATCCAATATCTGTATTTTAGCTAAGTGATAATTGAGTCTGTCTGTTAAAACTAGCAGCACGGTGGCACAGTGGTTAGCGCCGTTGCCTCACAGCGAGAAGGTTCCGGGTTCGGGCCCCACCTGGGACCTTTCTGTGTGGAGTTTGCATGTTCTCCCCGTGCTTGCGTGGGTTCTCTCCGGGTACTCCGGCTTCCTCCCACAGTCCAAAGACATGCAGCTTAGGTTGATTGGTGTCTCTAAATTGCCCATAGGAGCGCGTATGTGTGGTTGTTCGTCTATGTGTTAGCCCTGCGATGGATTGGCGACCTGTCCAGGGTGTACCCTGCCTTCGCCCGATTGCCGGCCGGGATTGGCTCCGGCCCCACCCGTGACCCCGTTCAGGGACTAAGCGGTAGAAAATGAATGTTAAAACTATTTATACTATTCTCAGAGCCCAAGGAAATTTTTTCACTTCTCATTTTTCCTTGACCAACAGTCCAAAACCCAACGTTATTCAGTCTGCAAGTAAACAATCCTCATATCTGAGAAACAGAAAAACCTAAAGTCATGTCAAAGTAATGTCAGTAATTTTGTGGCTACTGAATAACTTCATATTTTGACCTAATCATGGCACCTGATGAAAAGTCAAGGTCAATCAGAATATACCTCTGTGGACAACAAATATTTCTAACAAATTTAATGATAATCCATCCAGTAGTTCTGGATATAATTTAAATTTGCCCACAGAGATGGTCCGATACACTGTCATGGCACTAAATAGAGATCATGTAATTATGTTGGGGAGCGGGACAGGAGCCGAACTAGGCCTCTTCTGTTTTCACACTATTTAACCCACTCACACTCAAACCTCCATACTTCCGCTTCTGCTTTTAGTTCCCCCCCCCCCTTTCCCTCTATCCCTGCTGGGGGTCAGTGGCACAGACCTCCTTAGCCTTCCTCAAAACTGACAAGTTCACAAGCATTCTCTATCCTTATACTTCCATTCCAACTCCATTATTTGGAAATAAGCAAATTTTTTAAATAAATGTGAAGACCTTGAAAACATTGTTAAATTTCAGAAGTGATGCCAATGATATGTCATGGAACCATGAGTCTACACCAAAGACAGCACTGTGATGTAGGGTCTGTGTTGTAGTGGGATGTTTCACTTTTGTTTCTTTTGCTGTTTCTTTCTTTATACTTAGAGAGACACTTACAGGTCTTCCACACAAAATCATTATTCATGGAGGCTTAAGTAATTCCTGTTGCTCCACATGCCAATAGTAACTAAGAGATATCTTTTTTCATAGCAGTCAGGAGCAATGCAGGAAGGTCCTCTAATGTCTACTACCATAATAAGTACTAAGGTCTTCAGTAAGTCCATTAGGCAACTAAAGCCCTGAGCCATATCCCACAAAGTCAGGACATGACATTGCATGCAGTCTTAATGGTTGGT